AAGAGGAGTCACGAAAAAGGAATCTAAATTAAGACAAAACTAATACGAATTGATGCTAACATAAAAACAAAAGAAAAACACTAAAAAGATACTCATAAAAAGATTAGCATATAAAACGCGTCATTTATTCACCCAAGTAGCAGCCGCCACGGCCACTCCACGCGGCTTCCAGAGTTGGTGCTTACGCTTCGCAATCTCATGCTTTTGTTTTAAATATGGAGTCAGAGCTCACTTATGCTTTGCTGCAGCCACGGCAATCCCACCAACTAATTTTTTTTTAGCTTTTCCTCTCTAATTATTTCCTTAATTTCTAGTATTTAATTCTTTGTTAGGTTTAGAGTTTTATATTTCTTATACTAAATTGGACTAGAAAATCAAATAATAAATATAAAAAATTTAACGCAATTCGACACTAAATTTTATTACATTCATGAATGAAAAAAAAATCACTAGGTATAAATAATTACAATTACATCATATCATGACTACTCAACTTCAAACAAATCAATCAATTTCAGCAAACAAATAAATCAACCAAAATAAATTTACACTTAACAAGAATTTTCGTTCTCCTTTGATCACATGTGGTGTACATACCCAGTCCGGTAAAATCTTAAAATCATTTTTACAGCTTTTTTTCATATTTAATTCTATTAAGATTTTCTTTATTTATAAGCTCAATAACTTGTTTATTATGAATTTTTCTCTTAGAATTCTTGCTTTTCAAATATTCTTATCTATCAAGTAGAAGAAGGATAACCAAACTTTTATGCCAAGTAGATTATTCTACTTAAAACCAACCAAAGGCATAAGGGTTTGAATCAATAGTTGCAAGACTTGAAATTCATAAACACCATTTTTTGTGTCCAACTGCCTCATAAAGGTAAAACCCTGAAATTAGAAAAGAAAGAGAAGTAAAACGATTAAAAATAAAAGTCGAGAGTGATTAAGCATTTATACTTTGATCTTTAAATCAGAGATTGATCAAAAAAAATTATGAGAAGGAGAATATGGGAAAATATAATAAAGTAAAATGGATCCAATGATATTTTAATAATGTTATTTATACTTGTATTATGAGAGATTTCAGACAACCTAGGTTGCCTCAGCTTAGCCCTAAGATCAAAGATGATCTGGTAGGCTAAGTTGAGCTGGATGTTGATAATCCAATTAGAAGATAACAAGTCAGTATCTAAAGGCTTTAGTGAGTAAACTGATGAGGTGATCGAACTGACGTGACATCATAAAATCAAGTCAATTTGATACATCAATCCAATCAAAAAACTAAAAATATTTGTGATTGTTTGTTGATTGTCTTTATTGAAGGAAAATGACTATTTTGCTCTTTGAACCCAGAGATATGCCTAACAACTATCTTTATTTTGGTCACGTGAAGATCTTTGACTAAAAAATAAAAAGAAAAAAAATTAAAAAACAAAAAGTTAAAATGATAGGATTTGGAAATTGAAATGAAACTTTTATATGCAAGAATTTGGAAATTGAAATGAGACTTTTATATGCATTAGGAATACAAAGAACATAATTCAATTTAAAAGAATTTGAACAATAATGGATAGTGATAAATCCATAGTAAGTAATTGCTAAACTTGCTTCATCAGCTACTTACAAGTCTTTAGGACCACCATTTAAAGAATGAAAAGATAAATTTTGGAATGTAGAAGTGACACGGTGAGATATTTTACTATCAATCAACCAACATTATCTTTTTTTACTGCAATAATATAATTTATCATAAGCAGGGATGATTTTGGTTTAATTTAGAATGTTATTGGCTGAGTGATAATAAACTTTTTAATTACTAATAATATGGATTTGCTTTATAAGAAAACTCTTATGCCGTTCAATAGAATTTTACTATTTCACATTGTTATTTACTTTTTGGGAGTAATACCCTGTTTTGGGTATTATAAGATACTTTAAAGTAAGTTATAATACTGGTACATACTAATTTATTTAAAGAACTTATCAGAGAAAAAATTTTATACATATAGTAATTTTTTATATTTTTATAAAATTTTAGTAATTTTATTTAATAATCATACGTTAGCATTTTTTTTTTAGGCTGAATTGCTTCAAGAAAAAAATTTTAATCAATATACTTTTTATTTTTTACCCATCTTTTTTATTTTAGATGTTTCAAAATTATATACTTTATGAAACACCTAATGTTCTTACTTTTTATATTTCAATTTTTTATGAATTTTTAACTTTTGATATAAAAAATTATGAAACATAAACCATATAAAAAATAAAAATTTGATATTAAAAAATAACAAAGTCAAAGTTCTTCTTTCAAACTTGTAGACACCTATATGTGTTCGGAATCAATTGAAGTCAATTTTTTATTATTACTATTACTATTATTATTTTTGTTATTAGTATCATTATTATTATTATTATTGTTAGTATTATATTATATTATTATATTATATTATATTATATTATATTATTACTTTATTTCCTTTCCTTTTTTCTTCATAGTATATGATTGAATCAGGAATTAAATCTATAGAAATTAGGGTTTCAACTTTGCATGAAAGTAGGACTCAGATCAGTCAAACTTGCCATGCTTATGACTAATTTACGTTTAACAAAATTCAATCCCAAGATTAAAGCCTGGATTGGTTCTATTCAAATAGAATCCAATCTCAAGATTTAAGCTTAAATTAATTCTGTTTAATCTTTAAAATTTCTATTGAGGATAGCTATAAATTGAACAAAGGAGCAGGGGAACAACACGATAGTTTTTTGGGAGAAAAGGGCTTTATATTTAAAATTATGGAAGAATTCCTCTCAGCATTGGGTTTCTAAAATTTTAGTTTTTGGGGTTTCTGGATTCGAAGTTTCGGTGCTTGGGAAGGGTTTGAGTTTCTGGTTTTTGTTTTGAAGTGTTGAGATTAAGGTTCTAGATTTCTGGGATCAAGGTTAGATTTTTGAAAATTTCAAAAAAATTTTGGAAAAATCTAGGTTTTGAGGTTTAATGTTTAAATTTTTTGATGAGTTTTCTGACGAGATTTGAATTTTTTGACAAGATTCCAATTAGTTTTTAGAAAATAGGTAAATTTTTCCCAATTTTTTATGGGTGTTCTTGGATCATTTTAGAGAGAAGACAGAGGATTTTTTAAGCTAGAGAGAGAGAAGATCAAGGCTAAAGTAAAAACGAAAGGCTTGGCTCTTATAAGGCTCTAAAACAACACCATTTCTACGTACCTAGGATTTGCATGAACTCGAATAAAATCCGTGCACCACTCATGGTTCGACGAGACCCGATTACAGGTTTTATTTTATTTTATTTTTATTTTTTGATTTTATTTTGATTTTTTCATTTTATATTTTATGTTTTTATTTCATTTTTATTATTTACTTTATTTGGTGATTTTTTTAACTGAGCAATTTATTATTTATTAAAAAATTTATAAAAATTCTTTTTTTATTTTTGAAAAATAATAATAAAATAAAATAAAATTTTCAAGTAAATTCATGAATCTTACAAAACTATTAAAAAATTTTTATGGATTTGAATTTTATGAATTCACTAAACTATTGAGAAATTTCATAAATAAACTTAAAAAAATAAAAAATAATATTTATTCTATCAAACTATTGGAGGATTGCATTTTAAGTTAAATCTTACCAAATTATTGAGGATTTCATAAATTTTCTCAAAGAAAATAAAATTTTATAAATATCTTTCAAATAAAGTCTCACCAAATTATTGGAGATCTGCCGTAAAGTAAATCTTACCAAACAATTAGGGGACTTTATTAATTTTTCTAAATAAAATTTATTAATAAATCTGACGACCGAATCTCTTCAAAATGAGACACTAATTTTCATGAATACTCCTGAAGTGATTGAATTATCTTAAATTAATACCGAACTATTAGAATAATTTGAGGATTAATTTTTAATATTAAATATTTGGTAAAATATAAACATATTTAAAACTTGAATAATTTGAAATCAACATAATAACATCCTTTGGATAGACGTTATAGGTGTGTTATAACATTTCTCACACGTAATCGTACTTTCAAACAAAAAATTTAGTTTCATGAATTAGAATATGTTATTTAAATATACTTAAGTCAATCTTGAAACTCCTTTTTAAATAGGACAGATTCGATCAGATGACTAATCACACATAAATAAAAAAAAATTAATAACAACTCTTTTAATTTATATATGATGATAAATTTATAGATCTATAAGTTATAATAATCCTTCTTAAAAAATCAAACATAGATAATAAATGAGACCGAAATGTTACTTTATTCATTTGAAGAAATATTAAAAAGATATTCTTTTCATCCCAAATTGACATTCATTCTTTGACTTTCATGAATATTAAGAAAAGCTTCGATTTTTTATGTATTTAATATTAAATTTTTATTCTTTTATAAAATTGATGTTTCATAGTTTTTATTGTCAAAAAATAAAAAAAATCATACTAAATAATTTCAAAATGTAAAAAGTATAATTTTGAGACACCTAAAAGAATTCAAATAAATGAAATAAAAGGAAAGAAATACAAACTACTATACATATTTGATTAGCATTTAAAATTTAACTTACTTTTACTATAGCATTTTAGATGTGATCACATATTTTTGTGGTACTAAGTGTGTAATCTTTGAATGACTAGATGTCATCACATATTTCTGTGATAGTAAGTATGTAATCTTTGAATGATTAGATGTCATCTCATATTTTTGTGTTAGCAAGTATGTAAGATTTTATTTTTTTGAAACAGCAAGTATTTAACCTTTGAATGAACACAAACTTTAATCTAAGCTTACCTTAATTTTCCTTAAATATTTGAAGATAGTTGAGGCCTGAAGTCTAACCTTGGTTTTTTATAGGGAGTTATTTTAATTGAAAAATAAGTAGCAGTGAAGAGTATTAGACTAGTAGTTTAATTTAGAATAAACCAGATTATGAGCAAATCCTCCATTGTCAAACCTCATCACTTTCTTCGCTAACCAGTAACCACCACCCTCCCTCCCTTTCTTCTTCCTTCTATAAATTCCTCTCTTCCAACATAACCAAACAAACTACCAACATTCTTTCTCATTCTCTCTCTCTCTCAAATTAAAAAAGAAAAAAAAAAGGAAAAAGAAACCCAGAAAATGCTTAATCTCTGGACTTTTCTCTTCCTCTCAATTCTCCAATTCTCATCTCTCAGTGTAAGCAAATCCTTTTTTTTTTGTTTTTTTTTAATTTTGGTTACTATCTTTACTTATTTCCATCTGCTAATTGAAACTTTGTTAAGACATTGGCCAAAGAAAAAACACTTATTTTATGTCATGTTTTTTTTAAAAAAATTATTTTCGGACAATGCAGGTTATCTTCGGCGGCGTCGGTGATTCCTTATTGTCGGAAAACCCATTTACACCGAAAGCCTCGTTGATTCGTTACTGGAACAAAGAGATCCGCAGCCAAATCCCCAAAAGCCATTTTTTACTCTCCAAAGTTTCCCCATTAACTGCCGTCGATATGGCCAGTTTTTCCAAACTCGCCAGCCAAAACGACCTCGCTTCCCGTCTACCTTCCTTCTGTTCCTCCGCTAAACTCTTTTGCTTCCCTGATTTATCGCCGAGTCTCGAGAAACACCCCAAAGACGTAAACTTCGCTGTCTACTTCAACAGGAACTTCACCAATTACGGCACGGATCGACTCGCGGGAGTCGACTCTTTCAAGAACTACTCAGAAGGCGAAAACGTTATCGTCGACTCGTTCCGCCGGTACAGCCGGGATTCGGCGGGTCACAAGGACCAATTCTCCAATTACGCCAGTGAATCCAATGTCGTCGACCAGAACTTCAACACCTACGGAGCCTCCGCTACAGGCGGTTCTGGAAACTTCAAGAACTACAACCGTCAAGTCAACAACCCCAATCTTCGATTCACTTCATATTCCGATGACTCCAACGGTCGTGGGCAGAAATTCACGCTCTACACAGAGAACGCCAACGCTGGAAACGGGCAGTCATTTTCGAGTTACGGTAAAAGCGGTAACGGCGCTCCTACCGACTTTAGTAGTTACGGGAAAGGAGCGAATGCGGTGGGGTCGGCTTTTTCTGGTTACGGAGAATCAGCGAATGGGGCTAATGACACTTTCACTTCGTATGGATTCGATTCCAATAATCCACAAAATAATTTCAAGAGTTATGGAGACGGAGGTAATGCTGCGGTTGACAGTTTCTCAAGTTACCGAGACCAATCCAATGTGGGTGACGATTCTTTCCAATCTTATGCCAAAAATTCTAATGGAGCGAAAGTTGATTTTGACAACTACGGCCAATCTATTAACGAAGGAACTGATAAATTCACTGGATATGGCCAAAGGGCCGTAGGTCAGTCCGTAGGATTCAAGATCTATGGGAGAAACACCACTTTTAAGGATTATACAAAAAAGGGTGTCACTTTCGCTAGATACAACAATGAGAGTTCCGCTGAAACTGCTCAAGTTAAGGCCAGCGGCAGTATTGTGAATAAATGGGTGGAGCCGGGCAAATTCTTCCGGGAAAAGATGTTGAAGCGAGGACAACTGATGCCAATGCCGGACATTAGGGATAAAATGCCTGAAAGGTCGTTTCTGCCCCGGTCTATCATTTCCAAACTACCGTTTTCGTCCTCCAAGATTGGTGAACTGAAACGGATATTCCACGCGGGGGATAACTCCACACTGGAAACCATAATGCTGGACGCTTTAAAAGAGTGCGAGCGAGCACCGAGTCCGGGCGAGACAAAGCGGTGTGTGGGCTCGGCCGAGGACATGATCGATTTCGCCACCTCTGTTCTGGGGCGTAACGTGGAGGTTCGTACGACGGAAAACGTTAATGGGTCAAAGAAAGTTATAAAGATAGGAACAGTCAGAGGAATCAACGGTGGGAAAGTGACGAAATCAGTTTCGTGTCACCAGAGTTTGTACCCGTATTTACTTTACTATTGCCACTCGGTTCCCAAGGTCCGGGTCTACGAAGCGGATATTCTGGATCCGAATTCAAGGGAGAAGATTAATCACAGTGTTGCCATCTGTCATTTGGACACATCTAGTTGGAGTTCGGGTCATGGAGCTTTCTTGGCTTTGGGCTCGGGTCCAGGTCGGATCGAGGTTTGTCATTGGATTTTTGAGAATGATATGACTTGGACGATCGCTGATTCCTGATTGCAAAGTTTGGGGTTTTAATTTAAGCTTTTGGGTGGGCAAATTATTAAATTTGGATAAGAGTCACTGGTTAAGATAACTTTGCCAGTGGTGAGAAATTAAGAACTGTCCATTTTGTTTTTATTTTTCTCTTTTAATTCAAGAAGTGGAATACATAAATATGAATATTTTTTCTTCTCATTTTTGTTAATTGTGATGCTTAATTACATATGCTTAATCTTACATTTATTTGACCTGTTTCTTTTTATCCTACCGTACCATTAGTAATGGCTAATTTTTTTTTTTTTCCTTTTGTGTACAGCACTCCTTTGATAATCGTAGATGGCCATTGAAGCTTTAACAAAACCTTCGTCCATTCTCACCCACATTTTAACAAGCCAATTTAATGTTCAAGGAACTGAAAATGATAAATTTGATGATTTATATATTTATATAGTATTTATTTTATATTAAATATTAATAAAATATAAAAATTAACATATCATAGTTTATATTAATGTATTCAATACAAAATATTTTTATTTTTATTAAAATTTTAAAATATATTATTATTTTATATTATTTTTATATCACAATATTACATTTAAAAGTGTCAAATTTATTTTTGGGAGCCTTGCCTAATAGAAATTGATCTTTGTGAAAACTTATTCATATTTCTTTAAAGAAGAGAAAGGAAAATATAGAGAATGGAGAAGTCATTGATACAAAAAGTAAACAAAGCATAAAACAAAAAGGTTATCCAACAAACGCATCCAAATCTCCGTTTTTAGTGGGATATCTATACATAATATAAAAGCAATCTCACAATCAAAACAGTAAAAATGTATTCAATTGATATTTCAATTAAGTGATACATATCGCCAAACAATTGATTCCTCTATTAATTAATAACATAACATATTATTAAACGTGTCTTCATTTATTATAGTTGAAAATTTTAAAAATTGAGTCTTTAATGATTTAATGAAGCTGTTGGCTTTCCCAACATTTCGTGTGTTCAATAATAAAAGAACTCGTGAATTAACTATACACGGCTTGAGGAGAGTTTCAAATCAATCAAATTTCAAAAAGCAAATTAAGAAGATGGTCTTCCATTTTTTGTGTCCCATCTACCAAATTTCGCTATCCTTTAAAGCAATAGTAAGAGTCAGAATTTGGAGTGAAATTTAAGCTTCAAGGTAATAGTCATCTTATCATCAATGGAGCCAAAACTCAAAAAAAAAAAAAAAAAAAGAGCTGAAAACACACTGATTAGCCTCGGAGAGAGAGAGATAAATGGTAACAAATTGGTAGCCGCCAGCCAACCTGCTTCTGATGGAAGGAGAATGGTTTGCTGACATGGTATATTATTTGTTTGAAGTTCCTTGTACAAATAATGAAACGGGAGTCCACACTCTACACTGCAAACATTGAAAAGCAATGTTTCCTTATCAAAATTTAAAAAAAAAAAAAAGAAAAAAGAAAATTTCCGTGTTATATATATATATATATAATTAATTCCACGCTGTAATTTATCCTCATACGATAAAATCCGGAGTCCGATCAAATAATATGACAAGAGGAACTGTTACATGCGCTCTTTAGAAAAGCTTAAGGTGATTATTTCTAATGTGGCAGTGGAAACATTAATCAGTACTTTTTCCCCAAGTTTTCTTTTCAAATTTGCGTCCTTTTTTATTTTTTTAAATTCCTTGGTAGTATTTTTTTTTAAAAATTTTGTTTTCACTAGAGAGCTAGCTCCCCTTGGTAATTTTCGAGTTGTTCTTAATTATTTTTATTTCTTTTTTCTTCTTCCTTTCATCATCATTTTTTCAATATTAATTTAAATAATTATAATCTAAAAAAAGGAAGAAATTAATTATGTATTTTACAAGTTTTGAACATATATCTAGAGTGATTTTTTTAAAGAGATTTTTGTTTATTTATTTATTTGGACTAATTAAAGCTAAATGATTAATTGAGCTAGCTTTTAGATCACATGGATGCCTGCAGCATCCCACTTCATCAACTTTTAGAAGTCATAATTAAGGGGAAAGTCTAGGAAAAGGTTAGGCATCATCGGGCATAGAGCATGAGATTTGATGATGAGCAAGTTATATGACAATGCTGACATTTACCTAATGTTGTCTCTTCCGGGGCCATTGTCAACTAATGTTTTCTAGGATGCGAATATTGATCTCTTCTCCGTTCATCAAAACCAGCACTTTTGGTCAAAATAAAAACAACCCTTCCTTTTTCCTAAGCATCCGAAGATTGTCTAGGGTTCCTAAGCAACTCATTATATATTGGTCGATAAATATCTTCTATCCATCTCAAAATTAAAGAAGTGAGAGTCTGACTTTTTTATTTTTTTGTTCAGAGAAGAGTACAGCCCTTAAAGGGAGAAAAAGAAGGAGATTCTGGTTCGAAATGAAGATTTCGTAAAGCCTCTTTAACCACTAAACTAAGAGATAAATCACAATATGAGTCTGACTTTGAAATAGCAATAATGGGCTTACTGTGTTTTCTAACAAATCCTATTTTGAGTCATTTTGAAGACAAAGACAAATAGATTCAAATGGAAATTACTTACTGAAAAAGTATTAGCTATTTATAGAAGAACATTTCAAAATCGTAAAACAAGTTTCTCAAGACATCACATTGATCAAACCACTACACAAAGCTGGAAATTAATGTTTAAGATCCCAGAGTCACCATCAAAATTTGTAAGCTACAGCCTATATGACAATAATTTGAAAGAAAATTTAGCTGTTCTTATCTTCTTAGTGTGCATGCTTGACAATGCAAGGCATTTCTTGGGACTGTGGCCAACAGCTATATGTTGCTTTGAAACCAATTTCCCAATAAACCGGATAAAAAGGCCCCTGAATCTGGAATCCATCAAGTAAAGTTGTTCGCCATTTGGTTTATTTCAGGCAGCAAATGATTAGCTAAACATGCCTTATCTCCTTCTGCAGCAGAAGCCTCAGCAGTAATGGTCACAAAAGGATCCTTAAGCCTTTTGTCTTGCCTGCCAGCTGCTGCCGCTTATCTGCAGTTATCAGTCAAAATATAATGCCTTTTAGGGTGGGGAATTAAGTTCCACATGTGAGATCATTATCATCTAGAGGTGCAAATGATACATGAGTGTTTTTTATTTTTTTAAATTTGATTCGAATAAAATTTAAATTTGATTTGATCATTGTCGAATAGCTTAACTTATTAAATAAGTCGAGTTTGAGTATTCTAATACCAGACTCGAATAATTTGCATATCTATTCAAATTTTTATATTTCAATATATATTTTTATTAATTAAAAATTATTATTTTACTCTTATATACATCAATTCAAGTTAAAATTCAAACATAAATAATCGAGTTCTTAGTTGAGTATGAGAATTGAGTTTGTTTTTATTCGGTAAATGAATCTGATCAAACAAATTTGAATAACTTGATTTTTATCCAGAGTCAACTTGAATTTAAAAATTAAAACTTGATCGAGATTGAACTAAAATTGAAGTCAAATTCAAACTCAAATTTTTTCTTATATCAATTCGACCTAGTTTGTTTATGCCTTTAATACTTGCCTAGGTTGGGCTTATTTCTCGTTTAATATAGTAAGAACAAACAACAAAATTTCATTAACAAAAAAAAAAAGTAACATCAATGCTTCTCTTGTTACGAAGTATGCAAAACTGCATAGGTGAAAATATAAGCTAATTTTCAAATCTCATGCATGGAAAAATGCAACATCAAATGATTAACTAATATAACATGCTTATTAGGACTAATGACATCATTATTGTAGATACCAAATTTTGTTCGAAACATTTTAACGCGGTTGATTAGAGCTCGTTTTTGGAACATAAGCTAGAACCATTAATTTGGGCCCATTACACGGTTCATTATAAGGTCCCATTACGTAGTTTATTTTAAAAGTCAGTTAGTGACTTACAAAATGGCTCATTATATAACCCATTTTAAAGGCCCATCTAAGATCCAATGTGAGGCCCACAATGCAATCTTTTTAAAGGCCTTTTACATAGCCCATTTAAAGCCTAATAACCCATTAAAAAATGGCTTGAAAATGGGAGCCCAATTTAGCCTCAACATAATACATTCAATGGCCCATAAGAAAGTATAGATTGGCCAACTTCTTGACCGACCTAAATATAGCCTTTATTGAAAAGCCCAGTTGGTTCTTTATAAGAAAACAAAAGCCTTTTGCATAGAACTAATTTGCATGGAAATAGGAAGCTTGAAACAAACCAAGGAAAACTTGTATTTCTTTTACGTGAGCACGTAGGCATGCTTGTGTTAGGAAGACAATCAGTTTAAAACAAGCTGAAACTGCAATTGAAAAAAAAAACAATAAGCTTAGTGCGTGGCTGGCAAAAACAGCCAGCAATGGTAGTAAAAAAATGCAAAAATGAAAAGAAGTATTGGGCTGTTTTGGCTGCTATAAGAAGAAAGGGTTGGTTTGATTTAAAAAGAGGAGAAGAGAACCAAGAAAGGGGAGAAACTTTTAAAATAAAAAGAAAAAGAAATGAGTTCTCTAAAAACTAAAAACGAAGAAAAAAATGAAAAGAGATGAAGAAGGCCTTCTAGTCTTGAAGAGTTTAAATAGGGAAGCTGCCAGGGAAGAAAGAACATCTGAAAAAAGAAAAGAAATAAAAAAAAAAACTGAGAGAAGGAGTTGAAAAACACAAACAGAAAGAGAGGGAAGTCTCGAAAGGTTTGGGATAAAAAAAAAACAAAAACAAAAAAAAAAGAGAAAAAGTTGTCAGCTCTTGAAAATTCATAAAAAAAAAAAAAGAAAACGAAAGAACTTTGCCAAAGGGAAGGAAGCAATTGGTAAGAAACTTATTAAGAAGGTAGCATTCTTACTCTTTTCGGCTAGCTTTCTTGTATGAAAATCTGTTGCATTTCCATTTAAAGCTTAAGGTATAAGACATATATTTACTATTTCATATAAGGCTCACTCATGTCCCATACAAGAGTAAAAAAGATTAAATAGACATTGAACATCTTAAATGAAATAGGTAATATCTTTAAAAACAGAAAAAAAAAACCCGAGACAAAAAAGGGTGAGTTTGTCGTATGACGAAAATATTTCAGCTGGTTTTTGTCCTTTGATACACCATGATCCAATTATTGGTTTTACCACATAAAAATGCCATATTTTTCTGCTAAAAAGGAAAACCTTTCGAAGACATGAGATAAAAACAAGTTTTTAATCAGTATAAAATATAATAATATA